TATTATCGTAGCGTTATAATAATATAATTTATTCATCCATCATTGATTAATAATAAATAACATCTTCAAAAATATGTACCTGCTATAAGTGGGTGTATGCACACGTCCACACACACACATATATATATATACATATATACACACATATATACAAACATATATATATATATATATACACACATATAAATGAAGGTATGTACGTGTGCACACGCACGTTTTACACACGCACACACATTTATTTTAACCCTCGGGTTAAAATTCAATGCTTGCATTTGCTAGCTAGATGGATTCATAAATTATTACCTTTTCACATACATATATACATACATACAAACATACATACATACACACATACATACATACATACAAACATACATACACAGGTACAAAGATATACAAACTTTTATAAATAATTTTTCATGTATGCGTAACATCGGCAATAATAATTGATAATTTTATAAAATAATAATAATAATTATAAGAATTATAAAACCTAATTATAATTAAATAATATAATTTAAATGTATGGATAATGAATTGAATTGCATTGGAGACCACCCACTATCGATTTTAGCATTTTAATGTTCATTTGGATTCTATGCGTTCATTGTTAAATACGTTCAATAAAATGATGATGATGTTGATGGTGATGCTGATAATGATATCTTTATTTATGATGGTAGTGGTGGTGATATATCTTTAGTGATGATGATGATGATGATGATGATGGTAAAGATGATGATGATGATGATGCCGATAATGATATCTTTATTTATGATGCTGGTGATGATGATGGTGGTGGTATATCTTTAGTGATGATGATAATGCTGACTACTACTTGGGTGGCACGATAACAAAACAACGACGACAAATGATGATGATGATGACGATGATGATGACGTGTGACAAATCGGTTTTCTTCCGTGACACGGATAAACATGTAAACATTCCGAACGAATGTACGTGTGTGTGGGTGTTTGTGTGTGTATTTGCGTGTGTGCGCGCGCGTGTGTGTATTTGCGTGAGTGTGTTTGTGTGTGTGTGTGTAATGTGTTTACAGATTTCACCACAATCAAACTTATTGCAACTATTTTGCAAGCGCCCTCTTTCCGATCAACGGTTATATTAGAGACAAAGAACTATCACCACTTTATTTCCACCATAATCATCATCCTCATCATCATAACCGTTATCACCATCATCATCATCGTTACCATCGTCATCATTACCACCACCATCATCATCACTGCCATCATCACCGCCATCATCATCACTACTACCACCACCATCATCATCATTACTACCACCACCACCATCATCATCACTACTATCATCACCATCACTACCACCACCATCATCATCATTACTACCACTACCACCATCATCATCATTACTACCACCACCACCATCATCATCACTACTACCATCATCATCATTACTACCACCACCACCATCATCATCACTACTATCATCACCATCACTACCACCACCATCATCACCGCCATTGCAGTCAACGAGATGACGTCGCAGACAATTTAGCGCTACATAAATTACAATTTCGACAAGTTCACCGAGTTCCTATACTTCAACTAATTTACATATTGACATCTCTGTTTATTATATGAATATGTATGTGTTATATATATATATATATATATATATATATATCTGTTTGTATATATATATAATTTAATATAGTATATATTCTAGCTATATATCACACACACATAAAATATTAATCATGGTGATTAATTAACGATTAAGTTGGCCGTCCTAACGTAATATAAATAATAAAAATGATGATGGTGATAATAATAATAATAAAATAATAATAATGATGATGATGATGATGATGATGATGATGATAACTCTTACGATGACCAAAGCATGGACTTCTGAATAATTATTTAGAAGCCCATGAACCGAACGCCGATCGACTGGCAAGGCAATAAAAGCAGTTGTTGAACGCAAAAACAGCAACAACAGTCTATAAATAAATTAGCATGATAATATTAATGTTGTTGTTGGTTGTTGATGATGATGTTGTTGTTGTTGAGATTGTTGTTGTTGTTATTGTTGTTGTTGAGGTTGTTATTGTTGTTGCTGTCATTGTTGTTGTTGTTGTTGCTGTTGTTGTTGTTAATGTTGTTGTTGTTGTTATCACGGTTATGATGTTAATATTAATAAATCAACATTAATCAACATTAATTATAATTTCATGCTCCAACCATCAGACATCACTATCATCACCTGCCGTCTTTATTACAATGTTACATAGATAGAGAGGAAGTGATGAAGAGAAAGAGAGAGAGAGAAAGAGAGAGAAAGAAAGACAGAGAGAAAGAAAGAGAGAGAGAAAGATAATTTTTATTTTTATTATTAATAATTATTTTTTATTTCAAACAAAACATTGCGAAATAAAGAAAGACAAACAAACAGAGAGAGAGAGAAAGAGAGAGAGAGAGAGAGAGAAAGAGAAAGAGAGAATAAAGTAGAAAAAAAGAGGAAAAGATATAGAGAAAGTGAGAGAAAAAATAAAGACAAAGGAGGAAAAATTTAATTAAAAAAAATCAAAAGGTAGAGTGCGGAAGAAAGAAAAATAGAGAATGAGAGAGAGAGAGAGAGAGAGAGAGAGAGAGAGAGAGAGAGGGGGTAAGTTTAATCAGGATATGTGTATTGTAGCAATTAAGAGAGAGGTGATGGCATTTTAACGATCATTTTATGTCTTCCAACACAGACCTGTGTGTATACAAATGAGGTCATTCATCCATCTATCCATCCATCCATCTGTTCATATGTTTATTCGTTCGTTGGTTCATTCGTTCGTTCGTTTGTTCATACCTTCATTCATTTTTTATATAAGTTTTCATTCTTTCACTTGTCTACATTTCGTTTTTACCAATATTTTTTATATAGATTTTAATTAATTGAAATTTTCATTAATCATTTCTTCATTCATTCAGTTTTTATCTGTTCATTTTTTCGCTTTTTCGTTCATTCATTCATTTATTCATTCATTCATTCATTCATTCATTCATTCATTTATTAATTCATTCATTTACGCACACATTCACTCACTCGCTCATTCATTCATTCAAGCAAATATATTAAACAGAACAACGAACGATACAATGATTTATTGACGAACAACAGCAATAACAACAACAACAACAACAATAATAGTAATAATTACAATCACAGCAACAACACAAACAACAACGACAACACAACCAACAACAACAACAACAATAATAATAATTACAATCACAGCAACAACACAAACAACAACACAAACAACAATAGCAACATGACACACGCATAGTTTCATTACTGCAGTATAATTGAGTGGTGGTAACCTCAGAAGCAAGTATAAGTTAAGTCCTTGTACTAATGTTATTTACAACAAAATCACTCCAAACTTATCCCAAATAGCCCTAGCCAGCCTTTTAGCACCCCTTAATGACCTTAATCGCCCCTTTAAAATCTAAACAGAGCCGTGGCAAAACGTCGAGATCCCCACTGGAATCGAACCTGGGACTGTACGAACCCAAACCTCGAAGGTCTCCTGGATTATCAGAAAAAAATCTGCATAAAGAACCTTGACCTTATGAGCGGTGTGGTCCATGCCTCGCTGCAGACGGCCCAGACCTGTCAAGAACTTTTTATCGATAGTAGGTGGAATTGCTCCAATATACTACAGGCACCCAGGTACATGCCGGATTTGACTGGAGGTTAGTTGCTAAGTTTCATTGTTTTTGTTTGTTTGTTTGGCTCTGTTTGTTTGTTTTGTTTGTTTGTTTGTTCATTTGTTTGTTTGTTCGTTCGTTCGTTTGTTTTATTTGTTTTTAAAAACTGTTTGATACATTTGTTTTTTTATTATAAATTTGTTAGTCCTTTCGATAAAAATAATTTCATAAAGTAATCTTAATAAACCTCCATTGTACTTTTTACTATAATTCGTTTAAACTGTTAGCTAGAAGGTTTCTACATAGGGTTCACATGATGAAATTTGTGAAGTTGTGTTTTAATATTATTAGCTACTCCACCACACCACTACCACCAACATCATACAGGCAGTCGTGAACAAGCAGTAGTCTACGCTTTGGCTTCGGCGTCTCTGGTTCAGTCAATCGCAAAAACTTGCAGCAGTGGCTACAGCACGAAATGTAGTTGTGGTCGGCATCCGTTCGATGAGCCACCAGCGACTGATTTCAAGTGGGGTGGCTGTGGCGATGACGTTCGCTTCTCTGTCGATTTTTCGCACAAGTTTACTGATAAGTTTTGGCAGAAAAAGTTAAAAGAAAAGAAGTTGAAAAAGTTGGCAATGATTAATTTACACAACAACAGAGTTGGTCGGCAGGTGAGTGTGATGGTTGAGGATTGTGAACATTTATGATGATTTGTGGTTAATATATATTATAACGCAACCAACAACACAAACGACTCGAACACCAAACAACCTAAACGAACACAAACAAACTCAAACAAACACGAACGAACAAACAAACACGAACAAACTAACACGAACGAACGAACAAACAAACATCACAGATAATGTCAACCAGCCTAGGAACCTCCTGCAAATGCCACGGTGTCTCCGGATCGTGCTCGGTCAAAACCTGCTGGAAATCCCTACCAGACCTCAAAACCATCGGAGCCCTCCTCGTCCACCAGTACGCCATTGCGGTGGAGGTCGACCTCAGAAGACCCAGGGTCAAGAACGATGACGTCACAGTCGGGGGAAAGAGGGGCGGTCGCAGTGGCGACAAGCAGCAGCAACAAATGTCCAACAGTTTCTGGTTGGATCACGAGGAGAAATGGATCGACTTCGACTACGGCGGTGAGGAAGCCTTGATAATGGCGATGAACAACAACAACAACAATAATAATAATAATAACCAAAATGGCATTAATAACATCAACGCTAACAACAACAACAACAACCATATGAACAACGATTACAACGAGTATGATTACGGTGTAGACGTGCGAGTGATGAAGGCAAAAAGTGCACCGCCATCGCCACCATCGTTATCGAACAAAAAAAATAATAAGAATAATAAAAATAAAAATAATAAAAACAAAAAAGATGTGAAAAAGGTTTTAGTACCGATCCTACCATTTAGGAAAAACTTCTCTGAGAACGACCTCCTCTTCATAACGAAGTCTCCGGATTACTGCCTGCCGGAACCTAGTCTTGGGTCCATCGGGACGAAGGGAAGGTTAGCGAAAAAACAAGATGATGATAACGATGATGATGATGGTGATGATGATGATTACGACGTGATATTCAAGATTAAAAAACAACAGCTAGTCCAGCGATAATAAACTATTCAGATATTATCATCATTCAAATTTCCTACTACAAAAAACTTATCAGAAAACAAAATTTTTCCCTCCAAAACCAAAACGCAGAGAATGTTCTAGGACAGAAGACGGCTCTGGCGGCTGTAAATCCATGTGCTGTGGTCGCGGCTTCACGAGCGAGGAGGTGGAAATTCAGTACAGATGCGACTGCAAGTACTACTGGTGCTGCTACGTTAAGTGTAAGACGTGCTACAAAGTTGTCGAGATCAACAGGTGTCGGTAATTTGGTGCATTGTTGAGGGAATCGGTGCATTGATGAGTGAATTGGTTGGTGAGTTAGAAGATGGGTGAATGGTGAATGAATTAGTGAATGAACTGATAATGGATGTTTGAATGTGTATGTGAAATGGGTTATTGAGATAAATAGATGTTGATGATTTGGGTGAGTGAATGAATGAATGATGAATGGATGCATGTCTTATGGAATGTTTGTATATATGTGCGTATAAACAAACAAAGTTGTTTGTATCAATGGCCTCTTAATTTGTATTTTTGTATTTCTGTGTTTTATATATAATATATATATATATATATATATATATATATATATATAGTTGTTAATTATGTTAATTTATTACAGCACGAATCGTCACTTCTGACGTCACGCATTTTTTTCTACTTTTTTTTTCCTAAATCTTGGTGGTTCATTATGAATCGTCTTCGTTTAATTTCTCTTATGATAGTTAATAAATTAAAAAAATAATTATAACAATAATAATAATAATAATATTTGGAACATGAATATTGATAACAATATGAGTAATAATAATAATAAATAATAATAAATAACAATAATAATAGAATGAATAAATATACTTTTGAGCGTTTTTTCTGTTTGATCTCATTGTAGAGTGATTAGTCAAATAAATAAATAAATAAATTAATTATTTATTTATTTAATAATAATATCAATAAAAATAATTTAACAAAAATCATGTATACAAATTGTTTTCATCATTATAAATTTTTATCATGGACAGAATTGCTCACATGTCAGTCAGTGTAAAACTATTTAGCTGGTTATATAGTGGTTAAACTTTCATAACATGAGAACTACCCACCATCCCCACAGCAAAACGTACATACACAGATCTATATTTTCACCAGAACCATACGTAATACCATTGTTTATGTTTCCTTAACACCACACGATGTGTCTGTGTGTGTGTGTGTGTGTGTGTATACGTGTGTGTGTATGCTTGTATCTGTGGTGTGTATGTGGTGTTTGTGTGTGTGTGTGAGTTTAACTAGTTAGAATTTTTTTATATGTGCTATTTATATGTAGATGATGACGAAAGAATTATTGAGGAAACAACTTTTTAAATTTTTTATTTCAACATAATAAATTTTCTCAACGATTTATATTTGTTGGCAGCCATCCTATTAAGTATTGCCGGGTCTATGGTACATACGTTGCCAGCCCTTGGTGAATGAACGAATGAATGAATGAACGAATGAATGAATGAATGGGCGCTTGAATGAATGAATGAACGGATGAATAAATGAATTAATGAATGAACAAACAAACAAAAAATGAAATACTTAAAGTCAAAATTAAAAAAAAATCTCCAAAGATACGAATTTACAAACGCAAAGATATCCCTTGTAGTTTCAAAGTAGTACACTACTTCAACCGGCTAAATTGGAAAAATTTTGTGTGTGTGAGAGAGAGAGAAAGAGAGGGCATTGTATTAGTTTCTTACTGATATATTGATATACTGATATATATTGATTAATTAACCAGTTAATTAACTAATAGTATTAATTAACCAATTTTTGTAAATAATTAATGACCAACCAGCATTTCATGCTTTTCGATTTCTTTTCTGAAAATTTCAAAAAAAACGCTGACGGTTCTAGCGGGAATGGGCTGTCGCCTGGTTGCTTCGTACCAAACTACCTCAAATTTGAACAGCCGGCCGCCTGATTTTTTCGTAATTTTCAGTGGTTTCACTAGAAATAACAGGTCTGGCTATTGATAATTCGTGTCTGGACAGATGTTTGTTTGTTTGGATGGTGGGGGGGGGGGGTTGGGCAGAAAACATACATCGATATATTCGGCGATACTTTGCACTCCGATGCTCATATTAAAAATTCTATTCCCGGGCCATTGGAACCCCTGTATCGGTTCGT